CCCAAAGATGTGCATGCTAAGTCAACATATGTATATATGTATATACATATATGTATATATATATATATATATGTTGTATACGTACAAATATAATGTACATAGAAACACACATGCTAAACCCTCCCCCCAAGACCAACCTCTCATAGAGGCAGAATACATATTGCTACTTTCACGGATGGGCTGGAGACCGCCCATGGTGAGGGTTTAGGGTTTAGGGTTTAGGGTTTAGGGTTTAGGGTGTTTGGAAATACGGGCCTACTTCAAAAAGCAAAAACAAACTACAACCAACATCCAGGCACTATGGTACTCAACCATAAAAAAAACAAAGGACCCTTAAACGAAATGTTGAAAAAAGGGTCACCTTCAGTCCTCTGGTTCCCATGGTATGTGTTTTTGCTGATTGCCATGGCTTCTGGTGTTTAGGGTTTAGGGGTTTAGGGGTTTAGGGTTTAGGGTTTGAGGCTTCCGGAAAGCAATGGAGACCATGAGCATGGTCCTGCTTTTTTGTCAGAAGATTTTTGCAGGGATGCTTCCAAAAGCATCGGTTTAGAAATGGATTCCCTTGAATGGGTATATGGTTTAGGGTGTTCCGTTGTGGAATTTTCAGCTTTAAAACTTGCGAGAAATAGCCCCCCCCCCCCCCCATTTCCAGAAATGTCTAGTGCCTGACTCTCAGCATCAAGTTGAAGTACATTGTGAGTCCTTTTGGGCAATACTGCTTCAGGTAGCTGACCCTAGATATGCAACTACCTAACTCGTTAAATCCAGATGATTGTGTGCATAATGCAGAATGCGTTTAGATGGTTTAAGTTAGGGACCATGAAGCACTTGTGTTACAGAATTCAAGCCGGCAAAAACGGGATAAATGCATGTTGTTGATAAACCCTAAGGCCCTAAACCCTTTTGCATCTGGGATTTCAGCAGGTATTGCCAGAAGCCCTAAACCCTGAATCCAAGACCACCTTCGTCAACCGGGAGCTCTCTGATATGCCTGCTTCGGGTCTCGGGCCTGTTGGCGGGAACCCCACCCGCTATCAAAAAAATAGCAACCAAAATAAGACAAAACCCGACCCCTTTGATAGCCCTTCATTAAGGAATAGGGTTTTGGGTTTAGGGCCCAATATTCATATACCCCTTCCTGAAGATAGGTTAAAGTATAGCCCTCATTTAAGGGACTGTTGGGCTCTCTGGGAATAGGTTTAGCGGTTCAAAGTTTAGGGAATTTTTGTAGGGTTTATGGGATTTCTAGGGCTTAGGCAATCTACACCTTAACTCTGTTTAGGCATCCTCAACTAAGAAATTTATCATTAACTCAGTATGAGGACGCTCTGCAGTTTTAGGTGGGATCCTTCATCAAGGAGTTCACACCTTCAATCATAAGTTTCCCTTATACAAAAACTGAAAACGTACCATCAATGTAAGTATGCAATATGGAGCTCCCCGGCAAGTATACACAGAACTACTAATAGCTTAAGAACCCCCCCCAAAAAATGTTCTTCCTTTCAAGTAGCCAGTACCTATATTATAATACGGGCACCCATTTTTTTGGGTTGGTTACTTTATAAGGGAACCTTGAACCCAAAAAAAAGGGAAAAGGGTACCATTGGGCTACCAAGAGAGAAGGCCCCCCTAAACCCTAAACCCTAAACCCTAAACCCGGCCCTGAACCCTGAACCCTAAACCCTAAACCCCCACTGTACTCAGTTGTTGACGGCTGTGAGGCTGTCCGGCTGGTGATTCAGGTTTGTCTTCGGCTCGTGGCGTTGCTTGGGATGTTCCCCCTTATACTAACAGTCCTTAGTAAGGATTAAAATAGGGGGGGGACTATAATCCCTACGAAATACTGTTAGTAGTAGAAGGGAACATCCCTACTTCAAACATTCAAACTTTTTGGTCGGCTTCGTGATTGGAAGCTGGCCAAGACAGCTAAACGCAACCGTGGTGGGGAGAAGTGAGCCGCTCCGGCCGCTGCGTCCGCTCCGCATGTGCACTTGGAGGGCTTTCTTGGGCTTTCAAGTCAGGGCCCGGCCGGCAATACTTAACTTTGGGGGGGAGTTCTATACCTACATAATGGTAAGACTTATAGCTCAGCTAAGGGCCCCTAGAACCCTACTTCTCCAACTGCCTACTTCCCCAACTGGTTCTTAGTAGGGATTGGGGGCATGAGGGCGCTGTACATACCCTTTCTCGCATTCTGTCCTCATTCCCTACTAAGAACCAGCCAGGTCTGGCTAGGGGCCAGTCTTGTACTTGGAGGTTCATGGTACTACTAACCAAGTACAACTGTACTTATAACCCTACTTATAATACACCTAAAGGGCCTTATAGGGGTTATCCCAATTATAAGTAGGGTTGTAAGCCCTGTTATACGTGGTTAGTAAGTACCACGAACCGCCAAGTAGGGTTGGGTTGAACGGCTGCTTCGTTTAGCAGCCGAGGTACAACTGCTACCGACCTTGACTCTGATACTTCCGTCTACACTGTACAGGGTTTGGGGTTTGGGGTTTGGGGTTTAGGGTTTGGGGTTTAAGGTTTAGGGTTGTGAAGAGCCCTGAAGAACAGAACGTTTGAGTTCCAAGTATGGGGTCAGTGAGGAGAGCTGCTGTGTGAGGCGTTCCGGCTTCTCGGGTTCTATCGGAGCCCGAAACCATTTTTGCTTCAGGGTTTAGGGTTTAGGGTTTAGGGTTTAGGGTTTAGGGGCCACCCGAAACCCTAAACCCTGAACCCTCAACCACTTTTTTGTTGCATCCGGGGCTGTGAAGGTCGGAAGAGACGAAGGGCGTTCACTACTACGTTTGCTTAAGAATCACGCCAAAACAGTAAAAGACACAACGCTTCCTTACAAGGGTAACATAGGGATTATCATTATCATTATCATCATCATGATCATCATCATTATTATTATTGTTATTATTATTAGTTTTTTTGTTTTTTTTGTTTGGGGGGGGGGCTCTCAAGCAACGAGTAGTTTGGGGGTTTAGGCTTTAGTCACAACACCAAAGCGATGCCATCGACTACTGTGTGGAGCTCAAACCCCTTAAGTAAGGAATCTAAAACTACATAGGGATCCTAAACCCTAAGCCCGAAACCCTAAATCCTTTTCCAAGAGACTTCGCCCGCCTCGAGGATCCTAAACCCAAAACCCTTAGCATGATCTAAGGTAGTTTCCCTACTTTAGGCGTTTTGAGCTCTTGGCAGCTTCCAGAGCGTATAGCTCTCCACTTCTACGGCACCAGCCAGCTCCCCTCGAACTCGACGCTGCTCGTGCCATTTCCTGCTGAATTTGTATCCCACACTCCCAGATCTTCCAAACTGGCTCGTTGCGGACAATATTCCTTAGTCCCTACGCAGAGTCTTGTGGCGGTTCGAGGCATGCTCCGGAACGGAGCTATGTTGGAAGATCATGGCTCTTGAAAGTCTTTGTTTGCGGAACTTCGGCGAATTTTCAAACCCGGCTTGGCGGCATCAGCAAACGCTGCGCTACTGGCACGGTATGAAAGCCTCAACTGCTGTAGTTTACTTGGTCGACGGACCTATATGTTTATGTAGTAGATACATGGGCCTAAAACAGGGATGATACTGGCTTTAGGACGCAGGCATACACTATACAGCTGTCTCTCTCTCTCTCTCTCGCTTGCTCACTCTCTCTCTCTCTCTCTCTCTCTGTCTTTGTCTCTCTGTCTCTCTGTCTCTCTCAGCTATGCCAATGTAGAGTCGTGCATCTATACATATACATATACATATGCAAATACATATGCATATATATATATATGCATATACCTATGGCTCGAAGTTGTTTAGTTCATCATGTTGTTTAAACCCCAAGCAGAGGAAATCCTGAAGCGCGAGCGCTAACATAGCAAAGCGCCCGTAAATCCTTCTCGGAGAAGGTCACATCTGGGCAAGGACCCCGCCCCCCCCCCCCCCCCCCCCCCCCCCCCCCCCCAAAAAAAAAAAAAGAAAACATGAAAGATATTCATGTAAATCCCGTGAGGAAGAATACTTGTGTCTCTGTTTTTTTTGTTTAATGTGTTTTTTTTTTGGGGGGGGGTTCTTAAGCAAACAGCAGAACAAAAACGGTTTAGCGCTCAGGGTTTAGGGGTTAGGGGAGTTCCTTATGACTAGAGGGCCCCCCTTTTTTTGGAGGGCTGCCATCTAACTACATCCCTCCATAGTAGGATGTATATGCCACAAACATCAGCCCAGTCGTGGTGTCGGGTTCAGGACTTGGGACCCTAAACGCGGCAAAACTTCTGAGGGCGTCTGTAGGGCCCGTCGAGGGTCGTCTGGAGGACAGGGGATCGAACTCAGCACAACAACGCCACGCCCCTGCATAGAAAATCTTTCTGACGAGGGCTTTCATCGTCTGCTGGCGTGCCGCCACCACAACGTGTGGGACATGAAAGAGGTGCCGAGTTACTGTTAGTTGTAACGATGCGGCTTGCTCCACGCTGGCCCAACCGTTTCAGCTGACACAGTAAGCCACTGAGCGATATGGTCCATGGTCTATTTCTTAATAGGGGTTTTCAGGGTTCTCTGGGTAAACTCATGGGGTTCGTAGGGATGTACCTTATATAAATCATGATAAGGGCCCCTATAAAGGTTAAGGTATCCTCCTTAATTAAGGGTTTGGGGCTCTCTTCTCTATACTCCCCTTAGAACCTTAATTAATAACAACAATGTTTTAATATCCTCTTGGTCCTATTATAAACAAAAAAATCGCAAGGGGGATATAGTTCTGGGAGCCTTCGGGAGCTTGCATGGAAAAGGCGCTGACACCTTCAAATGGGGAACTGGCGGCTTGTCTCGGCTGCAAGACGCGCCCTTTAAACGGCATGAGCCCAGGAGGGTGTTGATTCCGGGCCCCGAAACTCTCAGGGTTTGGGGTTTGGGTTTGGGGTTTAGGATTTAGGGTTGAGGGAGTGTGCGGACCGTGGCAAACCCGCTCAAGCCCGCTGATACCCCTGATTCCGGGTAGGATCCACACACCCGCATGCCTTTTACATGATGGACTCGGGGCTCTTCACGCCATTTCCCAGCTGCCAGTTCGTGATTGCCTCGCGGCTGCTTTCCTCAGCTCAAAAACTGGTTGATGTGGGGGTTTGTTTACGACCATTTCGGGTACCTTATTGCGGTACCTTTTAAAGAGGGAATCCTGCTACTTTGGGATCAAAATTAGGGGTCCGGCTATTTTCGTAATCCCCCATGTGCAGTACATGGGATGTCCACCAGCAGCACCAGCAGCACCACAGCAGCTAAGTTGCTGAGTTCATAAGCCCCCCCCCCCCCCCCCCCAAAAAAAAAACACAAGTCTACACTTTTCGTTTTGTAGAGATTATAGTATCCCCAAAAGTGTAAAGTGTACTCACTCAGCTACAAAGGCAGAATTACATCCAGCAGCCAACAGAGCGACTTCAACCTCCAGTGCGAACCCCAAAGACTGAACCCTTTAACTAGGTACAACAAAATTCAGCCTAAACCCTACACCCTAAACCCCAAACAATAAACCATAAACCCTAAGCCCAAAACCCTAAACCCCAAACTCTAAACCCTAAACCCCAAACCCTAAACCCTAAACCCGAAGCCGAGGGTCGCTTCTCTTCGGCTGCACCAGCTCCTCTGGGTGATTTCAGTTTCCGTGGCTGCGTTGGGCTGAGGGTTTGGGGTTTCGGGTTTAGGGTTTTGGGGTTTAGGGGTTAGGGTTTGGGGTTTAGGGTTTAGGGTTTGGGGTTGAGGGTTTGGGGTTTAGGGTTCGGGGTTGCTGCAGACACTCAGAAGCCAAAGAGACAAAACAAAAAACCCTGACTTCAGGAATTTCTACCTTCAATCATACGAAGGACTCCTCTGTAGTTTAAGGTCTATGATTCATGAAACCCTAAACCCTAAACCCTAAACCCTAAACCCTGAACTCAGGGGCTTTGGGCTCTCTGGGGACATGGCGTCTGAACTCCAGGAGCTTAGGGTGGCAAGCGAAGTTGAGGGTTTAGGGTTTAGGGTTTAGGGTTTAGGGTTTAGGGTTTAGGGTTTGGGGCAGAGTGGTGGAAGGTCGATGTGCGATAGCCCCTCGCGATGCTGGCGGGCACGCGTTGCCTAGAGGGTTTTGCAGCCGCACAGCCTTAGGGTTTAGGGTTTAGGAGGCAGAAGAAACCCAGATCCCTCAAGGAGGGGGCTCCTCCCCCCCCCCCCTTTAGCGATATAAGTAGAGTCGCAAGATGCAAGTGTTTCCCAGAAGGCAACCTAGGAATAAACAGGGTGCCCTTTTTAGTTTAAAGGGGGTTTCTAAGGGGCGCTGGATTATAACTTAGAATCTTACCCTGGACTATCAAGTTGGGCATAGTAAGGGGCTTTAGGGTTTAGGGTTTAGGGACCCTCCTTGTTCAACCCCAACACTGTGTCCTGGGGCATAAGTGGCATGCGGAAGGCATTGAGGTGGCGGAACGTCTTGGCGTTGGCCCGCCTCGGGGAGAAAAGCCCCTTTGAAGGCTCAGCTTAGGTTGTTCCTTATACCAAACAAATCCTTAAAAGTGAATATAGTACGCCCCCCTATTTTAATCCTATTAAGGAGCTGTTAGTATGAGGGGCAACATCCCAAGGCTAAACCCTCTGAATCTTCAAGCCCTCGTGGAGTTGACGCTTCGGGCCCAAAAAATCGCCGTGGCGGGCGTGTTTAAACTTAGAGGCACCAAACAAATGGGTTTAGGGCTTCGGGCTTTGAAGGGTTTAGGGTCTTTTGGCCGCGGGGATGGGGTACATATGTGTATACATATCTATTATATGTGACGATTTCTCCTCTTATTTAGGGTACCCCAAAAAACACCCTAATGTTGAGAACTCACCATATGGGGTACCCAGTTTTTGACCCATGTCTGACTGAAGACCTTCTGCCGTCATCAGTTATCTGCTACTGCCATCTTGAGGTAGATTACATTGTCACTTGGTAAGGGCCCATATACCCGATACAACCCGACTATTTGCTTAAGAACCCCAAAAGAATAAATAATATTCCCGACATTGCCTTTAATAAGGAAGAATATTCTTTCATTTCGGGTTTCTTCAGCAATTAGTAGAAATTAAGGGCCCATGTAACTAGGGTTTAGGGTTTAGGGCCGGTTTAGGGTTTAGGGTTTAGGGTGTTCTGCCACGCAGCATCCGGAAGGTGCTCCGCATCTTCTGACGTGGCGAGATGATGTTGGCCTGTTCGAGCTGATGCTGCGAGGATCAGGATGTATAGGGTTGGGGCGTTCCCCCCTTATACTAACAGCTCCTTAATAGGGATTATTGAGCATGTTTAGGGTTTAGGGTTTAGGGTTAGGGTTGGGATGTTCCCCCATATACTAGCAGCTTAATAGGGATTATAGTGCCCACCCCCCCCCGTTTTAGAATCCCAATTAAGGACTGTTAGTATAAGGGGAACATCCCAGATTGAGGGTTTCGTTTCAACTAGGTTCCCAGCTACCTTAGACGGGTGAACCGGCTTTTGCTTCATCAAGCAATCCTGCATCCAAAAAACACAGGGTAATATATATATATATACATACATATCATACATATCGTACATATATATATATATACTGCGCCAGGACGAAAGTTCGTCGCATCGGGCACTTATGCCAGCATGTACGTGCCCCCCCCCCCCCCCCCCCAAAAAAAAAAAAAAAGACTCCTCCACAAGACGTGTCTCTGGGGCGCGGAGGATTTAAATTCCTCCGTCGGAACAAAAAACACTATATGTTTAAAACAGCGTGGAAATTCCTCCGCTAGCCAGGCCACAGAAAATGAACTTGCTCCGAGTCCTCCACCAACGCAAGATATGCAAGTGCGACAAAACTTTCTTCCTCCTGATGTATGTACATATGTATACATATAATATGATTGTTGGTTCAAGCGTCTTTTTGCACATGGATTGATCTGCACTGTTTGTCTAAGGGGGGAACATCCCAACCCTAACCCTAAACCCTAAACATACCCATTGTTGAAGATGTTGGCCGGGAGTTTAGCACCTGCTTTTTGGGTCGCTAGGCAATGCTTACATGGCGGTTGCTCAAGGAAACTCCCATTGCTTCCCTAAATTCACCCATACACCCTTGAGACCCTGACAGAACCCTTTACTTACACAAAACAAAAACTGAACACAAAAACAAAAAACCCTAAACAAACCCTCCAAAAACCTAATAACCCTAAACAACACCCGAACAACCCTAAATCCTAAACCCTAAACCCGAAACCCTGCGAGCACATCGGAACCCCAGAATGCCCCCAAGATCGATGAACAAACACAGAACCGGAGACTCGCCTTACAAAGAAGTGAACACCTGGGTTCCGTCGTGTAGGGTTTGGGGTTTGGGGTTTAGGGCTAGGGTTCAGGGTTTAGGGTTTGGGGTTTAGGGTTTAGGGTTTGGGGTTTAGGGCCGTTTAGGGTTTAGGGCACCCAAGAGAGAGAAGTAGCTCTGAATTGGGCCAGTAGGTAGATGGCTTAGAATTCTGGGCCTCTGGACTATGGTATGCTTAGTGAAGTAAGGGGGCTGCCCCTTGCACACTTTCAGCGAGGTGGTTGGACAGGCCCTCTTTTCTGAGTCTACCACACCCCAAAATTTATCAAGGAGACCATCATTGGTTTAGGGTTTAGAATTGGTTTAGGGGAGAACTGCTCCAAGCATCAGCTGTCCTGCTGAAGCGATTGTTTCAAGTTTGCCAGTGTGTCACCTGGGACAAGCTGCCGGAAGACTGAGAAGTGTCTAAAAGCTACTACGGGGTGACGCCAGAACTCTACAGCCCGAAATCCCGGGAGACCCCAGCGCTGTTAATATACCCTTGAATGAAGGAAGACGAGAAATCATTGTTTAGGGTTTAGGGTTTAGGAACACCCAGGCATGATTTAAGGGACATGCCTTCACGAAGGGCAACATCTGTCGGTCCTGTTCTGTGTGTCTCTGTCGCTGAATCCAAACCCGAATCATCAGTACAAGCTTTGGCGTCGTGACTGTCCGGAGTCCAGACCAAAAACCCTAAACCCTAAACTCCCTAAACCCTAAACCCTAAACCCTACACTGAAACCCCCTAAACCCTGTGTACATGGCTTACGAAGGGCTTTGTTGAACTTACTAAGGCCTTATTTGGGAATCTTGGCTTCCTCGCTCCCCAAGGTTTAGGGTTTAGGGTTTGGGGTTTGGGGTTTGGGGTTTAGGGTTTAAGGTTACTTGGCCAAGACTTGGCCCGTAGCTGCGTTGGAAAAACGGCATCTGAGTCCTGACCCAATAGCCCCCCCCCCCCCCCGGCCCTTAGTGAAGGAAGTACACAACGTGAGCCTTGCACTGTAAACTGCAATAGGGCTTCTGTTAGAAGAATGAGGGCCTATTCTTTCCGTAGGGGGCTTCTGTTAGAAGAATGTGGGCGTATTGTTTCATGAGAGGAGGTGTTGGCGAGTCACTCAGTTGTCGCATCTCAGCGTGCATTGCCAACTGGTCCTTAGCCGCGAGACTGTAGGGTTCTTCTCCTGCGGACTCCGCTACCCTTAGTTCAGGAATATTCCTTAAACAACAAGCGGGTTCCTTACATGGTTTAAGGAAAACCCTAAACCCTAAACCCTAAAGCCTGAACCCTAAACCCTAAAACCAAACCCCAAACCCTAAACCTGTACCTTAATTAAGGGGTATTGGAGCCTCTGGGGCTTATTGCTAAGCACAGGGTCAGAACCGAGGGCTCGGGGAGCATCCTGACAATCATGAGCCAAGTGCAGACCCAAACAGTACGTTGCAGGTTTAGGGTAAATCAGGGATCGTCAAGACATGCTTTGTGTCAATGTTTGCTTCAATGTCGCTGGGCAGTGGACCCTGCCATCAAAGGTGCCATGCTCAGCGCTTGCCTCCACCCCCCTTGCAAGCAAACTGAACCTTGGAGCCCCTGTTTAGGGTTAAAAGTAGAGTCATGAGGACCCTAAAATTGGATTATAAGTTTAGTGATGTAGGTTCTAACTCCCCTTGCTAAGGATTGTAGAGCAACGGGGCCCCCTTTTGGTATCATACTGCATAGGCCCCTGTAGTCTTTGGAAGCTGCTGGGACAAAGGATCTCAAAGGCGGCGTCGAGACAAACACTGTGCAAGGAACGAGGATGGCCCTTTGGTTTAGGGCTTTAGGGCTTTAGGGCTTTAGGGCTTTAGGGCTTTAGGGCTTTAGGGCTTTAGGGCTTTAGGGCTTTAGGGCTTTAGGGTTTAGGGACCTCTGCAACACTATTTTCTAAGTTGGATCCCTTGAATACAGAAAGAGAAATACCAAACATCCCAAGGTCCTGCCCAGGCCATGTAACAAGGATGTCCCTAAACCCTAAACCCTAAACCCTAAACCCCAAACCCTAAACCCTAAACCCTAACGACAAGAAGCGATGGCTCGGGCCGGGCCATGACATCGCAGGATTCCGTCAATGAACTCCTGCGGTTCAAGGCGAAAACCCTGCGAGCCCCAAAACCCTTGAAATAAGAATCGTAGGGTTTAGGGTTTAGGGTTAGGGTTTAGGGTCGCGGCTTTAGGGGTTCAGGGATCGCTATGGAAAACATGTACCCTACATGACCGGGAATAAAGTTTCGTCGCTCTTGACAAGACAAAGGTGACGGAGGACAGCGGAGTACTGCATCATGGTTTTGTCCTAGCCTGGCCAGCGGAGGAATTAATTTCCTGGAATAAACTTATACTATTTTTATTGTTCCGGAGGAGGACCTGGCGCTCTTGGAGTGCAGGAGTCTAAGGGGGAGAGGGGGTTTTCTGCTGTCCTCTTGTCTTATGTTAAGAGTACGACGAACTTTCGGCCTGCCGCAGTAATTGAGGGGCATTCAGCTCTGGACGTGTCCGGAGCCATGGGCGGGTGGGGTGGTACTGGATCGCCAGTCTGATAAAAAGGCTCCGCCGTGAAGACTAGGGCTCGGGATTTAGGGTTTAGGGTTTAGGGTTTAGGGTTTGGGGTTAGGGTGTAGGGTCTGGGGTCTAGGGTTGAGGGTTGAGGGTTTAGGGCACATCAAGTTCACCATAGCATCTTGGAACCACCACCTTGCAGGCACCCGCTCACTCGCAGTCGGTAAGAGCAGAGCACCGAAGGTGGCTGTTTCATGTCCAGCAGTTTCATAGGGGATAGGATTAGGGGGACCCTTGGGGATATGGACCCTCTGAATAAGGTCCCTGCTTAAGAGAGCCAGAAGAGGGTTCAGAAGGGGTTCCCTTTTAAGGGTCCCCCTTATCCTACCTAGGATTTCAAAAATCAAGCAAACTCATATCTACTCAAATGAACCTCCAAGAAGTCCAGCAGCTTCTAAAAAACAAAGCAAGCTTCTAACTTATAACTACTCAAAGAAACCTTCGCAAAAAACGAAGCAAGCTTATAACTTCTAACGACTCAAAGGAACCCCCAAAAAGACTTGCCTCAAGAACTTTTCCCTGGCCTCGCAGGTGATCTCGCCGTCGCCATCATCTAGGACGTGGAAGAGAGCAGCGCCTGCATGCGACACAAAGAACAGCTCCTATACACACCCTGCCGGCTACGGAGAACCATCTCTTCTGCGCCCGCCATGCCCTTTCAAGCGAGCTCAGAAATTGTCGTGGCAGATGCATCCTTTCCATAGCCTTGATGGAGTGAAGGTAGTACATGGCGTCGAAGGCTTTAGCTTGCCGAAATGGTGCTGAAGCTGAGTTGCTGGCCATGCGGTAATTTATCCCGCTCCAAAAACGCAAGCATTTGCACCAGGGCAGTGTGAATGCCCCGCTTGTAGATCGCCCCATGCTGTTCGTCAGGAACCATAGAAGCAATGTGTTGTCGCAACTGGCGCACGCGGACACTGCTCCAGCTACGATATATGACAGAAGCGACTGAAATGGGTCTCATCCACATCACCCACTGCTAAACCTGTAGAGAAAACCCTTTTTGCTTTATAAAGGATTTGTACGGGAACCTAACCCCCCACCCAAACAAAAAACAAAATAAAATAAGAACAAGGGCCTACCTGGGGTCTTAGACGTCGTTCTCATACACACTTCAAGCAAAAACCTTATATCAGGAGCATGGCTGCTGCTGCTCGGTATCTACAGTAGTCCCATTCATGTCTTAAAAGCATCTTGTGTACTGCATCAGGCCGGAAGTTTCGTCGATGTTACTCTTTTAGGGTTTAGGTTTAGGGTTAGGCCTAAGGCAGAATTTCACTTCGCCCCTCAGACTCCTCCCAGTGCACAGGCCCTCCGCTGGAACAGCTTCATGGCATAGCGTTTACCCAGCCGATTAACTCAAAGATCTCGCCAAGGCCAAAAAGTCCATCCTCTCGATATTGACGTTTAGGGTTTAGGGTTACAGGGTCTAGGGTGGGTAGATATAAGTAAGGTTATATGTAAGGCAACTATATCTATAACCCCAATAGGGTTTATTTGGCTCTCTAACAAACCCATGAATCAGGGTCAGCTTAACCCTTTCGACTCACACCAGGGTCATGTGCGTGTGCCATTGAAGTGCAAAACCTTACAAGGACACCCTTGTTGATGCATGGACTGTGGCGGGCACTAGCATGTTTGCAAGAACTCCCTGAACCTGGAAAACCCAAACCTTCTGAACCCTGGCCCTAAACCCCGCGGGTTTAGGGTTTAGGGTTCATATAATCGACACCCCAAAACCCCTATAAATAAACCTTGAACGAGATGCTTGGATCTGGGGAGCTTCCATTTTCAGAGCCCCCTTAAGCCCTAAACCCTCCCGCTGCCCCATGACAGTAGGACTTAGATGCATAATTAGGGTGCACCTCTGGCGGGGAATTAGAGCCCGTAGCACTTGAAAAAATCATACCCACCCTAAACTCTAAACCCCAAACCCTAAACGCTAAACCCTAAACCCTAACCCATGAACCCTAGACCTGGCGGCCGCCTTCGTGCACGTCCAGCTCGAGAATCTGGAAATGGGCGATCACCTTGGGATCCTCCAAGAAGGGACTTCAAGCGGGTTTAGGGTTTAGGGTTTCGGATTTAGGTTGTTGTGTTCAGGGTTTTGGGGGTTTAGGTTTTAAGTTTTAAGGTTTATGGCTTGGGGGGAATGTAGGGGCCTGCTTCTCTTTGGATCCCCTAAACCCTAAACCCTAAACCCTAAACCCGAAACCCGAAACCCGAAACCCTGCCCGTGGAACACTGCACTCGTACCTGAGAAGCCCTTCCGCTCTAGCCATCTTCAACTCCCGACCCTCGGTCTCTGCTTTTAGGGCACACATAGGGCTGGCATACCCTAAACCCTAAACCCTAAACCCTCAAAAGGGCCTGCTAGGCGCGATCTTTGCTTCGCCAGGGCGATTTGCTTCGCTAGGGGCGACCCGTTCTATCGATGTGTCAACCTAACCCCGGAATCGGTTCGATCTTGCTTGGAGTTTCATGGGTACTTATGACCACAGTTCTAAGTCTACTTATAGCCACAGTTCTAAGTTCCTTATAGCCACAGTTCTAAGTCTACTTATAACCACAGCTTTAGGGGACTTAGGCTTATAAGTGCAGTTATTACGAGGGTTCTAAGTTCTAAGTCTACTTATAACCTACTTAGGGGACTTAGGGGGGCTTAGAAGTGCAGTTATTACTAGGGTGCTAAGTACCCTGAACCTCCAGGTGGGGCTTTTGAATGCTGGAGGGGCCTGTGCACATATTATTCGTGGTTTCCGACATTAAGGGTACCTTATTGGGGTCCTGATTATGAAATGGAACCCTACTATTTGGGGGGGTCTATTTTTAGTGTACCCTATTTTTTTTGGTAAAACCCCATGTCGATGTTGTCTCCCTGTGGCGGCCGCAAAGACTACCTCAAATACCCATCCTGACCATCTCCCGAAATCATCTCAAGAACCACAAAAAGCAATCGTCGGGAATTTGGGGAATGCTTGTCCATCCCGGTGATCACTTAACCCCCCAACAGAAAGCCCAAGACCCTTTTATCAGCAGGAATCATGGCTCAACCCTAAACCCTAACCCAGGCTCCCCTAAACCCTAAACCCCAAACGTAAACCTTCAACCCACAGCCACACAGCCCCAGTGCCCCTGAGTTCAGGGACACAAACCCCAAAAACCCTAACCCTAAACTTCAACGAAGGGGGTCTTAACCTCATCACTAACATGGAGAAGTAAGCAAAGTTACCATTAGTAAAAAAACCTTACTTCTCACTTTACCCATGAACCTCCAAGAACGGTTATGGGTTTAGATCCCGCACTGCCTCAAGGAGCTGATTGAGAACGTCCTGTGGCCAGATTTTGCGGAAGCACCCCTCCACTCTAGTTATGATCTCAGAGTAAGGGATCTAAATCGGCCCCTAGTATGATAACATAGGTTGCAACTCCCATCCAACTATGCCCAGGGAGCCCTAAGAAAGAACTATACCTTAAACGGCATGGGAATGCTTCGGGGTTCACGGCATATTCCTTACTTGAAGGGAATTGGGCTCTTTGGGCAAAATTTATAATACTGAGATGCAGCTTCTTTGGATCTCGAATGCTTCACATGTTATGCATGACCTATCTACAAATTTCTTAAGAAACCCTTATTAAGGGTAATATAGGGAATACTATTTGTCTTTTTCTTGTGGGGTTCTTAAGCAAATAGTAGCTATAGGCCGTTCAATTCGGGCTCGGGGATGAGGAACCCTAACCCTCAACCCTACACCCGAGAACCCCAAACCGACAGAAGAGCAGCAGCGCCTACTTAGGTTCAATAGCGTCGTTGGCTGACTGCGGGTGTCCCTGTGTTTTTGGAGACTTGCTGTTTAGGGTTTTATGTGCACGCAGTAGGTGCTGCTGAAAAGGACTGGCTTTACCACTACTCGGAAGTGTTGTTCCAGAAGCGTCAAACATCCATGTGCAGCTGTCGTAGAAAAAAAGCAAAAGGTGCTGTGAATACCAGTGTTTTGGCCAGGTTCGCAACAGGCATCCTTTTTTTTTTAGGGTTTGGGGTTTGGGGTTTAGGGTTAGCTCAGGCCCCCTACCTTCAAGTATGCAGGGATCCTTTTCATGACTGGAGGCAGAGTGCTTGGAGGTTCATGGGTAGCCATAAGGAGGGGGCAAACCCCCAAACCCTGAAGCCCCTAGAGCCCAAAGACCCTGGGTTTAGGGTTTAGGGTTTAGGGTTTAGGGCTAGAACCCAAAACCTAAACCCCCTAAGAAGCTGCAAGAGCCCTACAGCCACCTGGCACTGAACCCTGGAACCCTAAACCTACCCCGCTAAGAAGCTGTAACCTACCGTGGAAGATGCAAGCGCAGAACTGGGGTCCTCATCTCTTTTTTGGTTTAGGGTTTAGGGTTTAGGGTTTAGGGTTTAGGGGCTAGGGGTGGAGGCCTAGTTGTCCAGTACCCAGGACCACTAAAGGTTGACCTTTAAACTTTGGGAGTTATAAGGGGATTCAATTACCCCCCCCAAAAAAAGGGGCTTAGGGTTTAGGGTTTAGGGTTTAGGGTTCAGGGTACATACTCTACAACTAAGAAGGTTGGGAAAGTTACCTACAGCCTCGGCTTGCGGGATTAGGGCTTGATGATCAAGCTCCCCATGTCTGTGCCGGAAAGCGTGCCTGCGTGATGATGCCGTTGCCGGTGGAGTCCAGCGCCTGGTGGCATGAACATGCTAGACCCTAAGCCCTAAGCCCTAAAGCCCAAAGCCCAAAGCCCAAAGCCCTGAGCCCTAAGCCCTAAGCCCAAAAGCCCTAAGCCCAAAACCCTAACTAGACCCTAAACCCTAAACCCTAAACCCTAAACCCTAAACCCTAAACCCTAACTAAACCCTAAACCCTGAACCCTAAACCCTAAACCCTAAATTCCCGAAATTGACTTGCGAGCACGTATTAGTGCTTCGCCATGCCCAACCTCCTACAACGGGTTTGGGGTTTAGGGTTTATGGGTATAGGTTTGGATGTTCCAACTTATACTAGCAGCCCTTAATAGGGATCATGATTGGGGGACTGTAATCCCAATTAAGGACTGCTAGTATGAGGGGGAACATCCCAAGGTTTTGGGCTTTGTGGTACAGAGTGCATTGTGAGCCAGTTTGGAGTTGTTTTGGGTCCTTTCGAACTAAATGTTTATCTAGGCCCAAGCGTACCGCAGGAATGAGAACGGCACCCTTCTTGGTTTAAAGGGGCTTATGAAGGAACCCAAACCCTACAAAAAAGGGAACAAGGGCTTCTACCCTGGGTCTTTTGACAAAGGGCAATGCGAATTAACAAAAACGATCCTCAAACCTACCCCCTGAGGAGGCCAGGGCCTGAAACAGCGCCTTCAACTTCATGACGTAGGCGGACTTCTTCTTCAGCTTCCTGCAAGCTACCGTCTCGGACACACATCCATGCCCTTCTCAAATAACACAAGACTGAACAAAAACCGGAAAAATGGCTATTGTAGGGTCCTTCAAGGGGGGGGGTTCAGGGGGAGTATGTAACCTTCTCCCCTTAAGGACCTCATATGGTTCTAAGGGCTCTACTTAACTTTACTTTTGCTTAGCTTGCCAAGTCAGCGCCCAGAGTCTCGTGCACCTGCATCTCGGCATCATTGCTCGCGGCCTCTAAAGTGTCGCGCAAAAAAATTGCGGAAATGACCCGCGTGATCCTTGGTGCACAGACACAGAAAAGACCTCCGTCGTCGGTGACTAACCACCAAGAAGCAGCTGCATGGCGTGGCTATTGTACGGCTATGAAGTCCAAGACGCGCAAACACGATGACCGTAACGTAGAGGACGAAGAAAACGACAAATCCATGCCCCATCTTTTCATACCTGCTTTGCGTACGCATCGTCCATCATTCCAACAGCTTCGCATGTTTAGCTGTGTAGACATGCATGCACCCTACATGCCGCATGTAACATGAGCAGCACACTGTCGACGCGTTTGCCGACCCCCTCATACATGAGCAAGTGAGTGGGGAGCTGAGCACTGCGTGCCTGGTGTCTTGTTGCACATGCAAGCACTTGCCATCAGCTGTCTGTCTCTAGCACATTGTGAAGAAGTTTGAAAAACTACTCGTTCTGCCGACGCACTGGAGACTATGTCGGATCTTTCCGACCAACTGTATTCCCAGCAGCTTCTGGCCACCGGCTACAATACCCCAGCTATTGTCCCCTGCCGCCCCCTTTCAAAACATCAACATTCTTTCAAATTACTTTGAAACACTCGGCGACTTCAGGTTTCATGTGTATATAGACATTATTGGAAGGGTTTGAGGTTTAGGCTTGGGGCTTAGGGACATTTCTCGCAACATCCAAGTCTGGTCTCAAAGTGGCCTTTGGGTCTCTGACCTGCATGACAAAAAGCCCTGCTTGTCCCCAGAGACTCCAATACCCCTTCATTAAGGAGTATTCCTTAAAGCATATTAGGGTTCCTTACATGGTTTAAGGAATAATGCGTAATTAAGGGGTATGTCTCTGCGTGTCCCAGATGTTCACAAATGAGGGCTCTATCTGGGATCGCCCGCAAGCAAGGAAACAACGAATGGGCTCCTGTGTGCTTGTATGGGGCAGGTCAGGATCATGGGGAACCTAGCCCTAAACCCTAAACCCTAAAACCTAAACCCTCTATGACTCGGGTCCACTGCACGGGAGCTCATGAAGTTCATGGGGAACCCTGAACCCTAAAGGCTATAAAGCCTAAAGGTATGAAATAACCTGCAGTGGGTGTTGGGGTTGAGGTCAGCAACTGGACACGCTTGCATCCAAGACACACAGGTCGAGCGTAGATTGGCCACGACCCACTGAAGGTTATTTCATACCTCGCGACGAAAACGAAAGCTCCACCCTGTCACGGAATCGAGCTTAGAAAATGAAGGAAGGACCATGCGAACATGTTCTTCGAAATGAAAACTCCCCAGTCGAGCAATACCTCATGACGACAACGATGACGAGGAAGGCTCCGTGTTGCTGCTGCAGCTACTCCACCGATGATGTGTGGATTTTGATGTCTAGGCAGCCTCCTGTGACAAAGCGTCCACCCCACCCCTCCGGGGCAAAGCGTAACCAAGAGAATGAGGATTGCGCAAGGACCCTAAACCCTAAACCCTAAACCCTAAACCCTCCAGCTTAAGGATTGCATGGATGACACGAGCTTCCTTAGGAGCGGGATCTAGGACTCAGAGAGACAAAAGCGTCGCAAAACACAGTGCGTTGTTCTCACGAGGGTCAGCTCTCAGACTTCAAGATTTACCGGTTAGGAAACCAGCTAAACCCTAAACCCTAAACCTCAAACCCTAAACCTCCTAAACCCTTGTAAAATCGGCTTTGAGAAGAACCGCAAGCCCTTTCTGATCCAAAGGAAGAGGCATCGTGTAGATGGATCTCAGAGCCGTCCCGTAGTGTGCCCAGACCCACATGCCTTGGCTTCGCACAGGGCTTTTGAAATACTGAAGCCGTTTGAAAAACGTTGAACCCTAAGCCCCATGAGAACCCTGCTGTAAACCTTCAATCTATACACTTAGTTGCTGAGTTCATTAAGCCACTAATTAAGTGCACACTTTCAGTTTTCTAGGGGGTTATAGTATCCCAAAAAGTGTAAAGTGTACTCACCCAGCAAGTAAGTACACCCTAAACCCTACACCTTACAGTATGAGAACCCTATTTCGGGTACAGCTGAAGCGCCGATGCATCCGCGAATGGGCCCAATCAAACACACCGCAGGTCTCACAAGGAAGTACGCCCAACCCGCAAACCCTGGGCCTTACCATGAGGGAACTATATGGGTGGCTGTCAAAAGTATGATCCCTTTTGGGGTACCCTAAATAATACGTGCCGTATTATAATAGGGATCCAAAGAGGGACCATAATTTTGACAACCACCCATATCAATTACCAGGGAACATGTAACCCTATTCTGGTAACTCAGCTTATGGCTCAAGAACACGGAAATTTCGATACTAGGTCTTGGACACAGGATGACACAGGCAAGATCAAGGGTTCGTTTTTCAGGATTCAAGGTTGCCGCATGTTTCCTTCCATACTTTCTTCAGTGACCATTCCTCGTGTGTCCACCTTGGGACAATTGGGGTTCGGCATGACACCAAAACAGGCAGAGCTAGCTCACCCTAAACCCTAAACCCTCGAACCTGACTTTATCACCAGCGAAGCCCTGCCACGAACACACATGGCGCAATGCAATCGAGAATGGTTGGGCAGCGCATCAGTCCGGAGCACCAGGCAAAGCGGTACGGAACAAATTGTTCGCTAGTGCTTTACATGACCTCGGGATGACCCGAATCACAGGCTGGGACATAGCTGGAAGGGAACATCTAAAGCACTGCCACAGGCATTTACTTTTGCGATGAGACTCGCTTAGCTTTCTACGAGGACGACGGCTACCACCACCACTACCTTCACCACAACCACCACCACCACGACGACGACTACTACTCCTTCTCCTCATCGTAATCGTAACGGTAATAGTCAGGCCTCGACTGCACACATTGACTCGGCTGACAACATCGATCAAACTGCATGCAAGGGGTGCTGTGGTAGATGTGGAGTGTCAAATCTCGTGCACAACGCGTAAATCCTCTCCGTCTCACGACTCATGAAGTCTCCAAGGTGCGATCCTCATAATCTTGAGACTCATCCGTGATGTAGTCCTGCAGCTAAAGGTTGCTCAAGTTCTCAAGCTTGAGGGTATCATGAATAGCCCTGCACACAGCTCAGCTTGAACAAAAACATCCGCCACCGAACCAGCGCTAATCAAAACCAGCGACAGACGCTCGCAAAGCAGCCGCGGCGAGATGCTTAAATACCCTTTGAATGTGAGAGAGGTATGGGCTGCCTCAGTGGTACTTAGGACCTATAAGCTAGGATTTAATGCGAGTTCAGTTCTTAAGGTTGAGGGTTTGGGGTTTAGGGCAAGGGGCCCTAAACCCTAAACCCTAGACCCTAGACCCTAGACCCTAAACCCTAAACCCTAAACCCTAAACCCTAAACCCTAAACCCTAAACCCTAAACCCAGCGCCGTCCTGAAGTAAGGTGCCAATGACCAGCCCGGCCATCAAGATGAAGATCCCGAGCAGAACCATGGACCAAACCTCGGTGTCTGACAACGCAGAGGGCTGCAGGCCTAAACCCTAAACCCTATAAACCCTAAACCCTAAACCCTAAACCCTAAACCCTAAACCCTAACCTGACCCCTTCTTTAACGAATGACCCTGAAGTCATACTTAGAATCCCTAAATATGCTTTAAGGTATAACTCCTTCAATAAGGGGTATTGGGCTCTCCGGGAACCTCAAACCCGAAACCCCAAGTGGCCTTTGATCTACATTACAGGCCTTTCCGGGGCCTCTAATCGTCCATTCTCAGTAGTTCATGGTACCGAAGAGGCAACCATCATTGAGATCACCTCCCCACCCCCCAAAATCACCCAAACCGCTAAACCATCCTCACTTGCGCAACGCACCGTCCCTAAACCGTAAACCCTAAACTCTGCACCCTAAACCTAAACCCCTACACCAGGATAAAGGGCTCTAGGCACAACACACGGACATAGTCCCTGTCAGTCCGACATCATAGACTCTGCCAGGCACTCGACCTACAGTAACTGCTCCTTTGGTTTCGGGTCGAGGGCTTTGTGTAGAAACTCAGAGAACGTAGCGGGGGGGGAGGGAGAGCTGGGCAACGTAAAGTCGTCTAGACGCCTAAGTAAACCCAAAATGCCCCTTAGCCCTCGAAACCCCTCAACCCCAAATCTGTCAGGCAATCCTCTTACAAGCTGGGGACCCCCTAGTTATAAGTAGAGGTATAAGGACCCTGAAATTGGGTTACCAGGATACTAGATTATGTTATAAGTCCCTTGACTAGAGTTAGTAGAGTAAGGGGGCCCCTGCGTGTAGGTGCCCATGGACTGGGATACCCTTCAACAACCACTTAGAAGCCCGGAAATGCCCCTTCGCACAGTGGCGCCGTCGGGCCCTAACCCTAAACCCTAAACCCTAAACCCTGAAACCTAAACCCTGAACCCTAAACCCTAAACCCTAAACCCTAAACCCCCTTCACTTCGGGCCGAGGAGCTAGAGATGGAAGGAAGGAGTTGCAAGCCTCGAGTCGGAGAAGTTTGGGGTTTCGGGACATGGGCCTGCACTTTCAAAGGATCCAACCAATGTTGAACTTCATACAATCATATTCAATGATGGAGACCATGCTGTAAATGAGTTCTATAAGCCTCAATATTATGACTATTTGTGGCAGCAGTTGTTTTACTTGAAATCTTCTGGATCCTATTCACCGAAAACATATGTAGCCACTAAACAAGGTAATGAATTTGAGTTCGATAAGTTGAGGACTTATAGGGTTTGAGGTTTAGGGTTTAGGGTTTAGGGATATCCGGGGTTTATGGTTTAGGGATATTTGGGGTGTAGGGTTTAGGGATATTTGGGGCTTTCGGGTTTGGGGCTTAGGGATGTTGAGGGCTTCTAGGGTTTGGAGTTTCGGGTTTGGGGCTTACTGGTTTTGAGGGCTTTTAGGGTTGGGGATATTTCGGGCTTGTGGGGTTTGGGGGATATTCAGGGCTTATCAGGGCATATCGGGTTTCAGGGTTTGGTTGGGTCGTAGGGATGATTAGGGTTTGGGGATATTTAGGGCTTGGATGAACTTTCGGGAACATGCGCAGGCCGGGGCCTTGTTACATTGGTGAAGAATGAGGATAAACAAGGCTGAATCCTAAGATGAAAGGACCGGCGACACCCTCTTCTGGGACTCTTCGCATGGCATTGAAATTGCGACACGTTGAAGGAGACGCAAGTCACCCAGACCCAGAGAGCCCAAAACCCCTTGACGAAGGAATATACCTTAAACGAGAAAGGGACCCTTAGCATGCTTTAAGTAGGTATATTCCTCAATTAAGGGATCCTTAGTATGTCTTAAGTAGGTGTATCCCTCAATTCAGGGGTCTTGGGCTCTTTGGGTAAAAACCAAAGGGCACCTTGCCTTGCGAGGATGCTCAGAGAGAGAGCAATGTTATACCACTCCACTAGACCCTGAACCCGATCCCCCCTCAACCCTAGGTTTAGGGTTTAGGGTTTAGGGTTTAGGGTTTAGGGTTTAGGGTTTAGGGTTTAGGGTGACCTAATTACTCCTTATAACGAGGCCAGGAAGGGACGTAGGGAGCCCAAGATCGTATACCGCTTGATTAAGGAAACAGACCTTAAACCGCACATGGGCCCTGACTATGATCTAAGGTATCGTGGCATATTCCTGAATAAAGGGCAACTATTCCTTAATTAAGGTTCTTGTAGGCATACTCCTTCACCAAGGCTTTTTGTGTTTTTCAAGCGCTGTTTGCAACACTCCGTATTTCGCAGCCCAGGTGGTCGGGGTCGTGTTCCAGCTCAACACCTCATGCAAAGTCCCTCCGCAGACCGTGATATTCGGGGCCGTAATAATTAGATCGGGGGTGGGGGTGGGGCGGGGGGGGGGAGGGGGGGGGTATAATTGTATAATCATAAAGAGAAAGGGAATACTAGTAGTAATCATTCCCCCTAACTATAGTAGGCCCCTAAAGCTTCCCCCCCCCCCCAAAAAAAAAAAAAAAAACGATAATCCCGATATTACCCTTCTAGGGAAGAACATCTCAATTTTGTGGGGGGCCTTGATCTTAAGCAATTCGGGTTCTTTGAGCCTAAGCCCGACTCAGCCCCAAACCCTACACTTTAAGGGCTTCCGCCTGGTGCTGAAGGGGTTTAGGGTTTAGGGGTTTGGGGTTTAGGGTTTAGGGATGCCAAGGCCCGGCATGACCCGGCCACACGACCCCCTTCAGCACCAGTAAGGGTTTAGGGTTTAGGGTTTCGGGTTTAGGGTGTAGGGCTTCGGGCTTCGGGTTTAGGGTTTCGGGTTTATGCGGTGTAGAATTCAGGACGCAGCCCAAAACAAAACCAGGTCAGGTGGCCTGGACCAGCAGCCGCAGGCCCCGGAAAGACTTCAGTGACCTTTGCGTGCACATGTACCAACCAAAGTAGGTAGTTTAGGGTCTAGGGTTTAGGGTCTAGGGTCTCTTAGACACTTAAAGCTTTGTTTGCAATTTGGGGTTTGCAGTACTCTCCGAAATTTTGAACATGGATTAGAGCTGGGATTCCCTTTAGCATACCATTTGGGATATGGGGGGGGGGGGGCGGAAATGTTCCAACTGTTAGGAGTTTACTGAAGGGGTTGGGGGAACTTAAGCCCTAAACACAAAGATCCTACACCCATGGGTCAGATAAGTTTAGGGTTCATGGTTTAGGGTCAAGCCCCTCCCCCACCCAACCACCGCCCACCGACCGGTTCAGGATATAGGGCTTCCCTGCGAAGATAAACCCTAAACCCTAAACCCTAAACCATTCTAAACTTTAGGTCTGCATTTTGTTCTTGATGGGGAGAGCCGGGAAAGCCCCAATACACTTAAAGAAACCAGGAAATCAGTGCAGTTTAGGGATTAAGCCCTTGACCCTGAACCCTAAAACATTCCCTATAAACCCTGAACCTGAACCCTAAACCCTAAACCCTAAACCCTAAACCCTAAACCCCACCTGGTTAGACTCCTCCGGGCGGCCGAGTCATGCGCAAGGCCCTCATGGCTCGGAGAGTGCGGAGCAGGCGGAGGAGGACTCCATTCTGGCCGGACCTGGCCGGTTTAGGGTTTAGGGTTTAGGGTTTAGGGTTTAGGGTTTAGGGTTTAGGGTTTAGGGCTTCTGGTGTAGGGTTTAGGGTTTAGTCGCTCACTCTCGCCCAAGGCCAGCAAGGTTTAGGGCTTAGGGTTTAGGGTCTAGGGGTTAGGGTTTAGGGTTTAGGGTTTCGGGTTTAGGGTTTAGGGTTTAGGGCTTAGGGTTTAGGGCACAAATATCCAGGTGGAGGGCTTCATGTTTTGGCGTTTGTTGAACTTAGGCTTTATAGGGTTTAGAACTACGGTCTATGCAGTTTAAAAAATGTTGCTTAGGGCAAATCCAGGGATTGCGTGTTGAAGTAGGGCCCAACCCTAATCCCTGATCCCTAATCCCTAATCCCTAAACCCTAAACCCTAGACCCTAGTCAACGCCAATGCTCAGGCCGGGGTGCGCTCGGGAGCATGGGTTGTTACAGGTGGTGGTTGCAGCTTCAGTTGCGGAGGAAATACCATAATCCCCATTAAGGACTGTT